ACCGCTGAGCCACGCCCGGCCGGGCCGCATCCCAACTTAATTAATAGGCTCATCCCGCCTCTGCGTGGATGAGAGAGCGTGGGGGGGGGCTCGGAAGACCATTTCCAGGCATTAGGGAATCCACTGCAGTGGTTCAGACGGCAAATAACGGCGGCCTCTCTGCCGGCAGCTGGGGAAGGGGTGAGAGGTGGTCCCGTTCCGGGCGTAATTTGAAGACCCAGCCTGTAGCCTTCTGGCAGGATGGGTGTGGCATGAGAAGAAAAGTCTAGTGACAGCAAAGATTTCAGATTAAGTTGTCGCCACCCGAGAGGGGAAGTCTGCAGGTGGAGACGGTTCGGGTGCAGAGAGATCAGAAGCTCGGCTTTGAACACGTTGAGTTTGAGGTTAGGAGACACCCGAGGGATGCTGAGCGGGCGGTGACATCCGGGCCTGAGCGTTGAAGACAGTGACCTGAGCTGCACTTACGTTGGGAGTCATCGGCCAACGGGTGACATTTAAAGGAGTAAGATGGGATGGAATCCCAGTGAGAGGAGAGCTGTAAGGTTTGGGCCCCAGGACATTCCAGCTTCATGAGGGGACAGCAAAGGAGACCGGGAGGGAGCCACCCGAGAGGTGGGGGGAACCTAGCGTGGGGCGTCTCGGGAGCCCCTGAAGTCTTTCCGGAGGGTGGAGTGAGGAGCTGTGCTCAGTGTGCCGATGGGCCAGGTGACGTGAGGACCCGGAATTGGGTCTTGGATCAGCGCCCTGCGGGCCATTGGTGGCTTTGGCAGAAACAGTAAAATGCCATGTGGGCCCGGTGGCTACGGCAACAGGCCCAGCTGGTGTGGGCTTGGAGGGAAGAATCCGGGGGGGAGCCCGAGACACGGATTGCTGCCCCCTCTTCTGAGAAGCCCTGCTGCGGGGGCTGCGGGGTGGGGCGGGCGAGCCCAGGGCATTGCGTTTCCTTGGCAGCGGTTCCCGTGTCTCTGCAAGCTGAGGGGAGGAGGAGCGGGTGCCGTGGGAGCGAGGGGTGCGGAAGTGGCTCTTGCGTGGGGGAGGGCGCGGGTGCGGTGTGCGGTGGGACGACGCGGGCAGCTCCTGGTGGGGAGGGACTGACCGGTGCGTGGGTGCCGGGCCTGTGGGACTCAGAGGAGGCGGCTCCGCAGTCGTCTTCTGGTGGCTTCTGTTTTCTTTGTGAAATGGGAAGAGAGTCACCAGCCGGGATGCCGTGGCCGAGGCGGGACTGACAGTTTGTGGTGACACCTGGCCGCGGTGGCCCAGCGGTTGAGCATCGGCCTATGAACCAGGCGGTCACGGTTCGATTCCCGGTCAGGGCACGTGCCTGGGTTTCGGGCTCGATCCCCAGCGGGGGGCGTGCAGGAGGCAGCCGGTGAATGACTCTCTCATCATTGATGTTTCTCTCTCCCCCTCTNGTGGCTCAGCGGTTGAGCGTCCACCTGGGATCCAGGCAATCAGGGTTCGATTCCCAGTCAGTAAACATGCCCGGTTGTGGGCTTGGTCAATGACTCTCTCATCATTGATGTTTCTCTCTCCCCCTCTCCCTTCCTCTCTCCGGAATCAATAAAGACGTATCTAAAAAATAAAGAAATCAAAGGGCCTGCGTGAGAAGTCTTCTCGAACCCTGACCATATGCTAATCTCACCCACGCGCCCCCCTGGTGATTCTGGGAACGCACTGTGGCTGTGTGACCGGCCGGCCTCGCTGCCGAGGCGGTCAGTCTGCAGCCGGTCGTCGCTGCGGGAGGAAGGACAGGGGGACACTGGCGTTTGAAGCTGCCGCTCCCAGCAGTCATGTCCTTGGGAACTCAGTGTGTTGGAAGCTCCTTTTAAACCTCCCTTGGACGGCTTAGGGTGGGTGCGTGTTTCTCCGCAGCGCGTTCACTGCTCGGGAGAGAGACCGAGTCTCCTGGGTGTGAGGAACACAGCGCAGGAAACCGCCCGCGGCGGGCACGTGGGGCCGTGGGCTCCCGCCTGTGTCCGCCACCCCCACCCATCTGTCTCCAGCAAATTCCAGCCGCGGTGAGATGGCTCCCTAGTGACAGAGGCTCCTCTTGGAGAGGCCAAGGCACCAGTGAGATTCCAGCACAAGCTCAGATGGTTTTACACCTTTAGGGTTTACAATGAGAAAGTCTCCGGGACAGAGGCCACCCCCAGGCACACCTATTTCTGTGATTGCGGGAGCTCCGTCTGGAAGATAGTTTTGTCCTGTTTGGTTTGGTTTCCTGGAGTGGAGAATGTCGTGGGTAAACAAAGAAATCTCTGAGTAGAAACATTCTCAGGGCCTTGGCCTTGAGTCAGCCTGGGGCCGGCGGCATCTGGGCCGCTACAGCTCTGCTCCGGGCCCTGGAGTTTCAAGGCCAAGGTCGCTGAGGACTCCAACCGGAGCGGGACTTGCTCCGTTCCCAGGCCTCAGGGCGGCCCAGGGGGTTCAACCGGCAGTATTTTTAGAAACGGGAACTCCTCACGATGCTGCCCTGAGACGCTGTGGCTGCAGGTTCTGTGAAAATAAACCTTGACAACCACAGTTGCCACATTTGTCTCAGCTGCAGTTTCTCTGCGTTTTTATTTTTTGTTTTGAGAGCCTGGGTCGTTCTCATGTCTGTGCCGAGCCAGGCTGTGCTGTCCCGTCTCCCGAGGCGTCCTCGACGTTCCCACACTCCGGCTTCGGGCGGCTGGCGGCTGGGAGGACCGCAGCTCAGAGAAGGGGGCGCCCNCCGGGG